CGTAGAATTTGGCTAAGAAAGAAAAGAAAAATTCAATGCAGTTAACAAAGTAGCTACAGACATTAGTAAAATAAAAACACAACCCCAAACATCCATGTCTTAAATTACTAGGAAAAAAATACAGGTAAAGTTACAGCAAATACAGTCTTCACAGATTTGGGTAACTTTATTTGCATTTATAGTGATTTCTTAAGGCTAAGTCCAATGAAACCATTTTAAAAAGCTCTAGAAGAATGGAAATTTAAGTGTCTATGACACTTTTTAAAACAAAGCTTAAATTTCTGAATGAGCAAGATTCACTTTTGTAGGTAGAGGCCCTGCTTCTTCATGATCTTCAGTTTTAGATCTAACAACCACGAGAGAAGAAGCTGGATATCTGCTTAGCTTTTGTTCATTCACAAATTCCAAGTCACCATAGATACTCAGCTTCTGCAAGAGAAAAATCAGCACACATAAGGAATTTGATCACTGGGAACTTCTCCAAGTAAGTGATTTTGGCCATGAAAATCTAAGTAATTTCTCTAACATTACATAAAATGTAAAATTATTTTTATAATGAACAAAGGAGAAAATCCCCCAAAAGAGGTAGAGTATTTATACTACAATATTCTAAAACAGGAAATAAAAACAGTAATATGTATCAAAAATCACTTATACTGAAAAAAAAAGGGCAACACAAAATTCTAGATACAATGAGTGACTTTCCTTCTTTTTTTAAATATGTAGTTTATAAATTTCTAAAATATTACAATACTTTTATAATAAAAAAATGTACTTAAAATTATTACCTAGGCGAAGTATGGTTTCACCTACAGAGTTAAAGCCTAAAAGTAATATATCCAAATGGATTTTTTCCATACATTTTTTGGAAAATGTATCTTCTTAGAGAAGTACAGCCTCTTTTACAGTACAGCACATTCTCTGTTTTCCTTAACACTTTATACAACTATTATTGTGCCACTTAAACTAAACACCTTATCAGCCATAGTAAGATGGTATACAGTAAAAAATACAGGAGTTAATCTAAGGACATAAACTTCATTCCAGCATCAACACTTTCATAGTTATGCATCTCAGAAAGGTCACCTAGACTCTGTAAGCCTGTTTATTCATCTATAAAATGGAATGATAAAACCTGCTGTAGAATATTGCTGGATACTGTACTGACATACAAAATATATGAAAATACTTTGCGAGTTATAAGAACTACTTAAATGTTAGTTATTAACACTATCCTAGTCTACTTTCTAGGTACCTGTGTCTACTCAACCATGCCAATGACTTACTATTAGATTTTTATTTTAATTTCCCTCTTTTCTTCTTTTCTCTCTTTCTATGGTGCTTTGGAGACAGAAGAAAACTCCAGTTTATTTCAGTTGGATCTGATGTCAAAAACCATTACCTTATAGTTATATAAATAACTGTCTTTCCTTGAATGCTAAGTTGAATCATCAAATTACAGCATTTTTTTATATTTAGATTTTTTAATGTAAATTTTTCTATTTATATATGACAGCAAAATGCATTATAATTCTTATTATATATATAGAGCACAATTTTTCATATCTCTGGTTATATACATAGTATAATCACACCAATTCACATCTTCATACATTTACTTTGGATAATAATGATCATCACATTCTACCATCATTAATTATCCCATACCCCCTCCCTTCCCCTCCAACCCCTCTGCCCTATCTAGGGTTCATCTAATCCTCCCATAGTCCTGCTCCCTACCCCACTATAAATCAGCCTTATTTGTTTTTTTGGGATCAGCTTACTTCACTTAGCTTATCTTCTCTATCTCCATCCATTTACCTGCAAATGCCATGATTTTATTCTCTTTTATTGCTGAGTAATATTCCATTGTGTATTTAGGCCACACTGTTTTTTTAATCCATTCATCTATCTAGGTTGGTTCCATAGTTTAGCTACTGTAAATTGTGCTGCTATAAACATTGATGTGGCTGTGTCCCTGTAGTATGCTATTTTTAAGTCTTTAGGGTATAGACCGAGGAGAGGGACAGCTGGGTCAAATGGTGGTTCCATTCCCAATTTTCCAAGAAATCTCCATACTGCTTTCCATATTGGCTGCACCAATTTGCAGTCCCACTAACAGTGTATGAGTGTTCCTTTTCCCCCACATCCTTGCCAATACTTATTGTTGTTTGTATGCATAATGGCTGCCATTCTGACTGGAGTGAGATGAAATCTTAAAGAGTGGTTTTAATTTGCATTTCTCTAATTGCTATTGATGATGAACATTTTTTCATGTATTTGTTGACTGATTGTACATCATCTGAGAAGTGTCTCTTCAGGTCTTTGACCATTTTATTGATTGGGTTATTTGTTTTAAATTACAGCATTTTCCCCAAACAAAAATTCTTTACCTTGGCAGTTATGTTTCCTGGGTCAGTTTAATTACTAAGGAAGTCACAATAGTATTTGCTTTCTCGGGGTTACTACAGAACACAACTCAGAATCAATCAGCCTAGTTTTACTGCTTCTAAAGCAATAATTACTCCTTAACATTTGTGGCAATTAATTTAAAATTTTAAGTGGTTCTACAAGTCATCTCTATGCCAGCTTAGAAACTGAATGCTAATAGTTCTTTTCAGTCTCAGAGAACTGGGAAGAGAAACTTTGCTCAAGGCAATCACATTAAGGACACCACAGTAGTTAGCATCATAGAAAACCAGGAACAATGATTCTTGTGTTTTTTCATATGTGCCAACCTCAACCAGATTAAAACCACCAAATCTTCTCACATTCTGTTAGTAGAGAGGCCTTGTTTTTTTTGGTTAAACAAATAAAGCACTTAAAATGGTTTCACATGGTTCAGTCTTAAAATGGCCCAAGGGTAAGAATTAAATTTACCTCAGAGGGAACATACTGCTCTACAGCTGTAGCAACAGCTGCACAACAAATCCAGAGCAACACCATCACCGAAAGGACAAGAGTCATGGTTAAAATCC